AACGTCTTATGGTCACATGCCATGAAAAAGGAACTTTGAGACATGCTGAGTAGGGTTTGGTGCAAGAACAGTGAGGCTCATGTGGAGAAAACACTCATGCTCATTGCCATATATTGCCTGAGGTCCGTTATGTTTTGTATGGATCCTGGAGCTCGTCAGGATAAGGGAAAATCATGAACTTGAACAGATATCCGGACATTCCGTTTCCTCTTGGTAAGTTTGCTTGAACTTGGCCAAAAAACGGACATTCCCGCGTGACAGTGGTCCAAAGCATGCACGGAAATTGACAAGGGCATGGTCAACTGCACACCAGCGTTATCAGCTGGCCATCTCAGCCGCCACACTTCTTCAATCCACCCAAATCTTCGGGATTCTGACTCGAGAAGGTCGATCACAGACTGAAGCCGATGGATCCGAGTGAAGTGGAGAAACTCTTCATGGGGAGGGCTTGAGCGGTGATCAATTTCTGCTGTGAAGTGCCAGAGGAGGCTTCTAGCAAGTGTAAGTCCTGCCGGAGGAGGATTTACAAAATACTTAACTACAGAGGTGTGAAGAACTATGACCCTTCTGGATTCCCCACTCCCCCAACTTGCTCTGGACAGGAGGATTACAACCACAGGACCCTTACAGATTTCCTTCAGCAAGACCCAATCTTGTCGATATTTCTGCGCAGCGCGGTGTTCTTAATCGGTTCGGGGGGATGAACAGATCCGCAGGGCACTGTACGGACAAGCAGGGGTGTTCAGGGAGGAGGGCAAAGGAAAAACAAAAGGAGGAGGAGGAGGAGGAGAATTACCAAGGACCGTCAGGCTCAGCTCCCCGATCCCTGGGGACCCGGGTTCTGGAGGGTTGCTCACCACACAGCGGTACGTTCCTGCGTCAGAGAGCCGCGTGCCGTTCAGGATGATGTCGGCGCTCCACGGCAGAGCGACGAAGCCTACGCGGCCGGCGAAGGCAGGGCTCTCAATCACTTCCCTGTGATCGTACACTATTACCTAGGAGAGAGGGGGGTAGAGGGGGGGGTCAGACCGGTTTACAGGAGGACTAGATGAGACCCTTGGACCCCTTAACTAATCATTCTGATCCAAATAACACACGCCCAGAAAACACATAAGGTTGGACTCATTCACACCTCTGTAGTTAAGCATTTTGTAAATGCTCCTCTGGCAGGGCTTACACTTGCTGGATGTCTCCTGAAGTATTGTGACGTTTTGGCGCCTCACAGGAGAAAATGTAGGGAATGTTCGGTTAGCGAATGACCTTCTTGGGTCTGAACATCGGTGATTCAGTTAGCATGAGGTGTGGGGACGGAGATGGCCTCCCCTCTCTTGCAATATAGCTCATAACCTCAGAGGATCCGTCCAGTCCCAGAGCACTAGTGCAAATGGTAGCACTGATAATAATGGTGCTTTAAAAATGCAAAAAAAAGTGCCTCGGCTCAATAGTTAGCCGCAGGACGGCGTTTTAGGTTTCTCGGTATGCTGGAGCACAATGATCACTGTGTGGAACTTAATCAAAATTAATTTCGCCTTTCTCCTACAGCTGTGCGTCTTTGTTGAACTCCATTAAGACATTAATACCTCCACCGAGAGGATGCAGAATTCATCACTCTGATGGGAAACAGCAGTATCACCAGCAGCACCTGCAATTCAAAACTGGCAGCCCCACTGGAGCTCAGCAGGTGGGAGCCTGGCCAGTTACCTGGAGGGGAGACTCCTGGGAAAGCCGAGGCTGCTGCTGGAAGAGGTGTTAGTGGGACCAGTAGGGGGCGCTCACCCTGCGGTCTGTGTGGGTCCTAATGCCCCAGTATAGTGATGGGGACACTAGACTGTAAACAGGGTCCGTCCTTCAGATGTGATGTAAAACTGAGGTCCTGACTCTCTGTGGTGTTTCTCGAGAAGAGTAGGGGTGTTACCCC